GTTTGAGATTTAGTTTTCTCCCTTTGATATCGTGGGTTTTAGATTTAGTTGGGCGCTAATTATCGTTACAAGTATTTCGTATATTTTCATTTGTATACAATTATAATAGAATTAGTGCGGTCTGCACTTAATGAGACGAATTTGTATGTTTGTGCGTGGCGATGACCGACGATTTTGATCTCCAAATATCGACTGCCTATTACAGAATAGATCTCAAGGACAAGGAGAACTGGGAGTGGGAGCCGTTTTTATATATCATTTTATGTATGCCGTGGGCGAGTGTTACATAAAGCTCGTTTATGGCCAAATGGGTTGGGTCCGAAAATGTTACGATGCCCTGCTCGCCAGGGCTGCAACTAACTATTTTTGTGCCCATTTAAGAAGCTCACCGTGTAAAATCTGTGACTACTTGAAGGAGACTATATTCTATACATTTAGCGTAATACTTTCTGACAACGGCAGTTAGTTTAAGTCAAGCTATTTCCAAGTTCTTCCTACCAACTTTGGCATACAGCAAAAACTTACAGTCATATATTCTCCATAGGCCAACACCGGTGAAAGACTTAATAGATCTGTATTAGTCGCTGTAAGAGCTTATATAGGGAAGATCACACCAATTGGGATAATATTTTAGACGCTATTAGCGGATTTTTGAGAGCGTCGTTACACAGAAGCACCTTACTTTCTGACATTTGGTCAACGTATGATTCTTAACGGCAAGGACTATAGTCTCTTGCGTAGTCTAAATCTGTTTGCCGATGACACTCGGTTATCCAAACTGGAGGCTCTACAACTGCAGATACGGCAAGCTAGACTGAACCCAAACCGAACCCATAAAAAAAACGCACTCAGCCGATAGAATTTAAAAAAGAGTGATTTTGTTTACTCTAGAAACTTTACACAAAGTAATGCCATAAAGAAATTTAGTAGTAAATTGGCACCCCTATTTATTCCAGCTAGAGTTTAAAAAAAACCTATCTCGCACTACTATGATTTAGAGGATGAGAGAGAAAATAAATTAGGAGAATTAGAGTCAATTCAGTACAATATCCTCAACATCACAAGCGATCTCGAAGCAATAGCCATAAATATACAATCTAAACTAAAACTAAACATATTTTCCACATACATTTTCCCAAACAATAACATTACTAACCAAACACTCCAAAACACATTTAATATACAACAAACACCCACACTAATTACGGCAGACTTCAATGGATGGCACCCGTCCCCAACAACAAATACACAATACGCACCTTATTCTATTAATCGACAAATCTCCCACACACATCGACCTCACACCAATCTTAACCCCCCAAGCCAAGTGGGAATACTAAACGACCTCCATGGTAGCGACCATTTTCCTATTATTAATTCAATAATTAATACACAAAAACTCAACATACACTTTTTCAAACTGAAATAAGCCAACTGGGAGCAGTACAACGTACTTACCCAACAGACAAGCCAGAAATACCCCACTTCCCAAAACGTAAACAAAGAAGCCGTTAAAATCTATAGAATTATCTTATATAGCGCAAACCTTTCCATCCCAATAACCTCACCAAACATACATCCATACAGGGTTCCATTGTGGAATGAACACCTCGACCAACTACGAAATCAGAAACAACAAAGAAAAAAAGACGCTTCCAACTCTTTCACCTCAACCATCGAAACTACTACCCCCTTTATACAAAATAAGAGCTAATATAAAGCGCTTCTGCGGACTAAAGCCAGTAAAACAAATTCATGCCATCTCAAACCCGGTAAACGATAAGACAACAATAGCAGGCAACGATATTGCTAACATATTTGAATAACAAAACTATTTAACGAAATATTTAGTAACCACATACTACAAGCTTTCAAAAAAAAAACGAATCATCCCAAACCTCATGCCTAACACCGATAAAACTTAAACTTCATCTTACCGACCCATTTCTCTCAACTGCTGTATAGCAAAAACGCTAGATAATATCATAGCTAAAAGACTCTGGTGGTTTGTGACACATAACAATCAACTCAACAAAAACCAATTCGGATTTAACTCCTGATTTTTCAAGATCCTTCGATCAAGTAGGAGGTGTGCACTCAATAACCCATCAACTGTAGGAATGGAAAACAGGCCCAGAAATAATCAACTACATAAAAACTTCATGATCAACACGAAAATAATTGTCCGCTTCGGTCCGCATACATCGAACCCATTTCCCCTATTCAATGGAATCCCCCAAGGGAATGGGAATGGGGCTCCTACTCAGGAGCATTGCTATCCCTATCCAAATGCCAACACCTCCACATATGTAAAAAAACATTACTGTAGATGCAGGATAAGCTCAGTTAACGTACAAATTCCTACCGTTACTTACTTAAAAACTATAAGTATAACTAGAGTTAAAAAAACAAATATACAAAATGAGAACACACACATAAATTCACTTCTACCCAAACTCTACAATAAACTAAATAATAAATATAAATAATAAATAAATAATAAATAATAATATAAATAAATAATAAAAACTATAATAAAATGACTATCCAGTCCTAAATTTAATTGCAACGGTAATAGCCAAATTAGAATAAGGTCTGTTTCCATACGTCCACGATGCCAAATGTATTTTAAACAAATTAAAAACCCCGTTCAACTCTCCAATCCGCCTAGCCCTCGGAGCCAATTGCTCCACCCGAATAAACAACGAAGCAAATATTCCCTCCTTAGAACCGAAACAAAACCTTTAAACAGCCAAACTATCCCAAAACCTTTTTTTTCAAAAACACGCCACTTCAGAGGATTGTGAAGCTTAAAAAATATGAAAAGAAAACACTACCAATAATAGACCAGCCTATCAAAATTAGCCTAGAACTTAATCTACCCTACAAACCAGAAAATCTCCATAAATACAGACCATCCCATCACTCCGAACACATAAAAAACAAGAAACAGTGCCAGAAAAATACATATCTCAAACCACATACTTTCATATTCCTGACGGTTCAAAAATTAACTGCACAATAACATTCGCTGTCACAAACAAGCGTTTTGAAATATGGCATACTGCCCCCATATTCATCCGTCCTCACCTCAGAAACTATCGCTATTCTAGAAGCAAATTCATTATCCGACGTTGTTCCGACTCCCTATCAGCAATAAACTCAATCCAAACCTCATAAAACAGCAACTACTACCCAAACAGAATTAGCTCACTTTTAATACAACACGCTGCCAAAATTAAAATAATGTGGATCTTTGGCCATACAGGAATGAAAGGAAACGAATTAGCCGGCCAAGCTGCAAAATCAGCAGACAATATTCCACTTAACATGAACACACAGATATCGAAAGCCATCTTAAAAAGGAATTTGCGATAAAACAAAAAGAAAACATTATACACTGCAGTCAATGGTACCAATCAATCAATATGAGTAACTCACACACCTGCGATTATCCTAAAAAATCCCACCAAAATTATACCAGACCCGACCAAATAAAAATAATACGACTTCGACTAGGACACACAAAAATAACCCAACAACACTACCTAAACCCAAACTCTATACCAAATTGTCCGTTTGCCAAGGTGATGTTTCAATAAGCCATATACTTAACTCATGCCCACCCCTTCTGCAAAAAGAACAAGCCATATTTAACAACAATAACCCTCTAAACCTTCTTAGCAACCCCGGCCCAGATAACATACAAAAATTCCTACTTTTTCTCTAATAACAGATTATACCACAAAATCTAAAAATAACAAAATAGAATGCTATAGTCGAGTTCGTCGACTATCAGATACCCGTTACTCAGCTAGTAGAAGTGATAACGAGAAATTTCAAAAATTTCTGGAATATCGGTAGAAATTGGGAAAAAAATAATAAAATGAAAAAAAATGATAGTTTGGGCTATTTGTGGGCGTTAGAGTTGGCGTGGCAAAAAATATTTTGGTTAGTCTGTAGAAATTTACAAGATATATTCAAAAGTGAAAAAATATCAAAACATTTTTCAAAATTATGAGCGTGCCAGTTTTTTGCGGTTTGTTAGAGTGGGCGTTAGAGTACGTGTGGCAACATTTGGAAATATGGACTCGAGCCTAGCAAGAGCGCGGATCCCTAGCGAAGGAAGACCGGTTAGGTGAAACCTTTCGAACTACGTACACTACAGTATTTATATTCCGTTTGCAGTTCTTCAAGTCTTTAGGCTTGAACAAATTTAGGCAAAGAACAATTGTTTCTCTTTATACCATTTTTTTAACAGTACGACAGGTGAAGAGAACACTGAAGTACTGTGCTGGATTAAGAGCTGCACCTGTAACATTATTGTTTGGTCAGACAGCAAAATCTTAATTTGGACCGGACCATAAACATTCGGTTTGGACAAAAACTCCTTATCATACGTTTTAAAACGCTTCGTTGCGATTGTGACAAGAAAGAATGATTTTAGTTTGTTTTGGCATAGTTTGGCATCGATGCCCACACGCATGGTGAAACATTTCTGGTAGTAGCAGCGCTTTAAAAACAGTGTATTGCATTTCTAATCTTAATCATCTTTTTAGCTTTTATTGTACCGTGATCATAGGGTTAATTCAGACAGACAGACATGGCTTTATCCATTTATCTATGACTAACTGGTATAATTGTTAATCTAAGCTCTCTATCTTTTATAGATGCCTAGATTTCGACGTTCATACGGACGGAAAAACAGACGTCAGTTAATTTTACTAGGCTCGTGATCCTGATCAAGAATATTATTACTATATTATTAGTCGGCATAAGTATTTTGACAAAATTGTCAGCTTCTTTTGAAACTTTTTACTTTACTTTTTTACTCTACGATTAATACAAAAGACAACATTGTTCCGATATTAAAGGAACACCCCAGACGCCTTGACCAAATATATTTTCATTTGTAATTTGTAATATTAGTTTTAAATTTTAAGTCATACCAGTCAAAAAAAGTTATCAATTAAAAAAAAAATGTTTTTTCTTTCCGATAGATAACAACTGAAGAAGAAAATCCAAACATCAGTTTAGCTTATAGAATTGTTGATGAAACTAGTTTTACTGAGGATTCTGAAATCGTTCAAGAAAATACATGTGCACAAAACGGAGATTCAGACAATGCCCAAAACACAATGGAAGTGGAATCTTTAAGTCACTATTTACTTTCTATTGTTTATATGCCGTTGTCATTAAGAATGATATGTGTGACAAATCTTTTTTGTTGGATGGCACATGTTTGTTATTCGCTATACTTTACGGATTTTGTGGGCGAGGCTGTATTTCAAGGAGATCCCAAAGCAACTCTAGGCTCTCGTCCCCAGAAACGTTATGAAGAAGGAGTACGTTTTGGATGCTGGGGCATGGCCATGTACTCCTTATCATGCTCCTTTTACTCACTTATAATTGAAAATCTAATTCAGCGATTTAGGTGAGTATTTAAAATATTTAAAATATATGAATTCTGATTTTATTAGATTTGATTCTTTACAAAAAGGGCTAAAACAGTTTACGTTGGAGGACTCCTTTTCTATTGCATTGGAATGGCTTTAATGGCCTTAACTAGAGCCAAACTAAGTGTAATAGTCTTTAGTTGGACAGCGGGTATAATGTACTCTACTCTATTCACAATGCCTTATCTTCTTGTGGCTCACTATCATAATGTTTCTACGGTAAGTATATAAAGTATAAAATCACCGCAATGTGATAAGATGTAGCATTCTTAGCAATGTATATTAAAACCTTCGGAGGTGCAATCCTTTAAAACAAATGTCTCTAGAATGCATGCCTAATCTTAGCTTTTTAGCTTTATAGTTCTCGAGATCACAGCATGACATACAGACAGACGAACAATTTGACGGTCAGTCGGACATGGATAGATCGACTCGGCTTTTAACTGAAGCAACGAACCAAGTATATCCTTTCACTTTACAAGTAACGGGTGTAATAATAACAAGAAAGAATGCTAAAGTTGAGTTCCCCGACTATCAGATACCCGTTTTTCAGCTAGTGGAAGTGCCAACGAGAAACTTCAACATTTTCTACAACAACGCCACAAATTGTGGAAAAAAATAATAAAATGAAAAAAAAATTAAATATTTTTAAAAAGTGTGGGCGTGAGAGTTTTGCGAGGTTTGCGGGCGTTAAAGTGCGCGTGGCAAAAAGTTTGTTGGCAAAACGATAGAAATTTAGAAGATATATAAAAATTTGAATAAATTTCACAACATTTTTGCAAAGTGTGGGCGTGGCAGTTTATATAATAGGTTGTCAAATATCTCCCTTCCGCTTTTTTGCTCTTTATTCAATGCTTTATAAAAAGTGTTACAGTGATCGGATTTAGTTCAAATATGCGCCGTTTTGTTCGATAATCTGTTTCCATCTAGACGGCAACTTCATAATACCTCCCTCGTAGAAGCCCCCCTCCTTACTTGCGAAGAACTCGGACAGCCACTTTTCACAAGCCTCTTTTGAGTTCAACTTTACACCACCAAGGGCATTCGCCATGGACAGAAACAGGTGGTAATCACTTGGCGCTATGTCCGGCCTATATGGTGGATGCGATAAAACCACCCATCCGAGCTCCCGTAGCTTCTGACGAGTCATCAACGAAGTGTGTGGTCTGGCGTTGTCCTGGTGGAGCACTACACCCTTCCTGTTGGCCAATTCTGGACGCTTCTGGTCGATCGTCTGCTTCAAGCGGTCAAATGGGAGCAGCTCATAGTGGATGATTCCCTTCCAATCCCACCAAACACACAGCAAAACCTTCCTGGCCGTCAATACCGGCTTGGCCACTGTTTGGGACGATTCACCGGCCTTCGACCACGACCGTTTTCGCTTGATATTGTCGTATGTGATCCATTCTTCGTCGCCAGTCACCATCCGCTTCAAGAATGGGTCGAGTTCGTTCCGTTTCAGCAGCATATCGCAGGCGTTGATTCGGTCCAGAAGGTTTTTTTGTCAAATCGTGCGGCACCCAAACATCAAGCTTTTTTTTGTATCCAGCCTTCTGCAGATGGTTTAAAATGGTTTGGTGACTAACTCCCATCTCCTGGGCGATGTCACGAGATGCCACATGCCGGTCTAACTTGATGTATTCCATGATTTGATCGGTATTTGTCGTCACAGGTCTTCCGCCGGCTGGCTTATCCATGGTGTCGGTTTCACCGGTTCTGAATCGTCGAAACCATTCCTCCGCGGTTCGAAGTGATAGAGTACCATCCCCCAAAACACCATTATTCTCACGGAACGTTTCTCTAGCGGATTTGCCTTTAACAAAGGAAAACTTTAAAAAAGCGCGAATTTCGGCGTTAGTGAACTCCATGTTTACACGTCTATAACTGTTGAACGCAATATCCAAACTAATCATGCATAGCGTCGTTTTGTAGGTTATGTCAATACCTTTCAAATTATGTATAGTATTGCCAGAAACGAGCTCTGTACAGAGCGCTTTGTACATAGCCGCGAAATTCAAAAGACAAAAAGGCGGAAGGGAGATATTTGCCAAACTAATATATAATTTCACACGGACCACTACTTAGGTGACGACGTTACCGGTGCAACAAGGAACTAGGTTCGTGCTCATTAGTGGTGAATTGGGATAATGTCTACGAAATTCTTTACGATCTATAATGCTACACGGGGAGCCGGTATCCAGCTATATACCTATTTCATATCCATTGATCTGCATTAGAATTAATTTCTTAATTTCTAACGTGATCAAAAAATACACTGATGCAACGCTGGAACTTGCTGACTTTCCTATGCTTTTGTTTCCGTGAGGTGCATTGTACAAAAGGGCGTCATTCCAATTGTAGGTTATTTCATAAGCAGTTGTAGAAGTTATTGGCCGATCCTTTCTCTAGCTCCTTTAGATCTAGATCCTTTCTGCTGCTCTCATTTCGCATTGATGTGGATGACTGCCAAATAGCCTGTATTTTTAACAGATCTGATTTTGTTCATTCTGCGTCCACAATATATCCCGGATATTTAGTTTGGCTGTAACAGTATTTACTTTGTCCCACGGTGATTGTCAGCTTTGTGCTTCTAAAGCAGTCACTGACCTGCCGCATCATATTTAAATGTTCATCGCCCTTGTGAACGAGCAAACCTGTAAATCCTCTAGGTATACAAAGCAACGTTTGCATAGAGAAGACTAGTTCATCAAATGCATAGGGAATTTTAACGCATGGTTCCTCAGCTAAAAATTAAATATTTTTCAACAGTGTAACAGTTTGGGACGGTTTGTTAGCGTAAAATTGAGCGTGGAAAAAAGTTTTTGGCAAATCAATAGAACTTTACAATACTACTAAAAAAAATATCAAAACATTTGTCAAAAGTGTAGGTGTGGCACTTTTCGCGCTTTGCGGGCGTTAGAGTGTGCGTGGCTTTATTTAGAAACAAAACTTGCGCTGCGTCTACGTTTCCGGAAGCTGCATCCTTAATCTCAACATTCTAGCTTTTGTAGTTCCTGAGATCGAGGCGTTCATACGGACAGACGGACATAGCCAGTCCGACTCGGCTATTGATCCTGATCAGGAATATACATATATACTTTATATGGTCGGAAACGCTTCCCTCTGCTTTTACATACTTTTCGACGAATCTGGTATACCCTTTTACACGACGAGTAACGGTTATAAATATATAATTGTTCGGTTATCTTAACTGTAAAAAAAGGTCAAGTACCGCGACTTGAGTTAACCGTTACTCAGCTAAATATGTTCGAAATATAATATATACTCCGATTCGAAATTTAGCAACCGTTTCGGTTTGCGTTTCCTATTAAAAAAAAAAACTTGAGTTCTCAAATCTATTTGCACCACATTGATTTTGTCCATATGTCATAGGTCGTATGTTAAGCATTTATTGTTGTTAAATAGGTCGATACTGAACTTAAATGGGTGTATATTGGTACAGATTAGGGTGTACCTGTTGAGAATATTGTGAATATGTATTTGGGTTGGTAGTGAGTTGCATTCATTTTAAATGTATTCGCATGTTGGGAACTATTTTGAATTTAAGTTTTAATTTTACATTTTAGCGTTAACATTGCCTCATTTTGTGCTACTTTGATGTTCTTAGATCTGGAATTTCATGATGATTCAATGCACAGAACGAATAAGATGGTCATTTTCCAATTAATATCTTAACTGTGTCTTTTTGATAAATTAGAAGACTAGCATTGTTCCAGTAGACTAATGTTAATTAATTTATCTTCCCTAGCTAACCATAGAATAATGCTTGGAACAGTCTTTATTTGTAATCTGATTCATGGTGAAGCTAATCCCGACTTGGTTAGTCAATTAAACTTCTATGTTCCAAGCAAACTCACTAGAAACTACTAAACTCTAATTTAAAATCATTGTAGATATAATTACGAGTTGCATGACCCCTACAGAGTATTATCTTCTTACTATAAAAGACTTTATCCTATTATCTCCAATCCTGACTCTCTGCCGCTCTTAAAGCTATCAATACTAACTTTTTTAACACATAATTAGATCTTGCTAATATTTACATATTCCCTCGGTCCTTTACTATTTCGTATATCGCGTCTATCTTCTCGGGAATTGAGCCGTACGATACACGGCAGCGCCCCTCGGTCGGTTGGGTGGGAGGTGTGGCCGTGGGTCTCGCGCGTTTGCTTATATATTCAGTAAAAAAATAGGTAGTTTGCGTCGAATATCTGCTTTCTCTCAGAACGCCCATAAACTTTCGTTGCGTTCTAACAGAATTCACGTCCTTCATTGTGTAAGTGAGAAAATGTAACCCCTCTATTGATAAAGGTATAAAGTTCTAAGTGGCCTATATTTAAAAGGAAACATTTTTTGCATTTTCTAAAATTAAATTATTTTTATACAATGTGCTCACACTTTTGGCTAGCGTTCTGCTGTTCGCTTTGTAATAAAAAATATCTTGTCATTCCCTTTCGTAACCGAAAAAAATGGGCATCGATGCAACTTAACTAAGTAAAATACATTCTTGTTCTTTAAAATATTTAATAAATTAGACTCGGATGATAATTTGGAGCTAGCGTTTTCTTTGCTTAGATGGCTGCCTGCATCGCACCTGCATCAGAAGTATTGGCCCTAAAATAATATATAATACTTCTGAATACTAAAATACTAAAATCCCTAAAGGATAAATATTTAACTTGCTGCACCGGTGACCCAAGGGGCGCACTTCCAACTCTGTTCTAGTTGTGGATGACTTGAGCCTCGTTAAAAACGAAAGCTTTACCTTTAGCGAGAGAGATGCTTCCTGAAAGATATGGAGTCGCCCGACCAAGTACACATTCTGCTGTACGCTCTGAAATTAAGTCTCTCTTGTCATTGGCTTTAGAACCTATGCACTTTATATAACCTATACGATTGACGCAAATTATCGCTGTAGTCATCTAAAATATAATATGTGCATTCGAAAATGACTACATTATACATCGTCGTCGTTTTCGTCCTGATGTTTTAACCAGATGTTGCAAAAAATCTTGGGGCTTTACTGGGCGCTCATGGTGAATTTATGTTGTTAAAGGACTTCGCAGCTCCTGTGAGTTTTTCTGGTTCTTGCTTTGCCAAGCTGAAGCTGTAGAGCGGTATTGATGTAAGCTCTCCAGTGAGACAGTTATCGTTAGCAGTGTACTTTTTCCGCCTCGAGTTAAAAGTCTGCTACGCGA